TTAGAGTGCACCACAAAATCTCTAGAAATCCCCCAGCCTGGCACTGGGAACTCTTGTGAGGCCTGGCCCCAAGGCTCCCTTCCTCCCTCCCTAAAAGGCCAAAAGAGGCCTGGAAAGGGACCTTCTCCCACCCTTTTACTGACAAAGCCAGTTAGAAGCCCCCCCTGAACATTCTAATCTCTCACCGTTGATGCTTGAAGCAGATCCTTGCAGAGACCATTTCAAAAGGTTTTGGGGGGAATTCAGCCATCCCTGAAGGGATTTTTTTAGTTTTTGGATTTTTCTACAAACCCAGGAAGTCTACTGACTATGTAGGAACAGCTGTTGGGGGAGAGTGAGCCCCCTTTTGGTGGAAATAAGTATCCGCACACACACAAAAAACTCTTGAAAATAGAATAAGGATTGGGTCAAGATGTATGTCTCTAACAATGGGGAGGTGATGTAGCTTATTCTTAAGGCTTCATCGGGATGTTCTGAGCTTATTTTTCTCTAGTTCTAGGTGTTTGGGGTATTGTGTTTTAAGTACTATTAATGCATACATGAAATACTCATTCTGAGGTTTTTTTATTCTTGCTGTGCACAAATCTTAAGAAAAATATTCATAAAAATTAGGAACATTAAAATTCTGATAAGAATATAGGGTTGCCAAGTGTATCTTCGCTGGGAACATGGGGCTCCCGGCCGGCGTCTTGTGTGTGTCTGTGCGCGCGCACATCACCCGGAAGTGACGGGAGGACGCCAGGCACGCTGGGGGCAGGGCCACGGCCATACAAGGGAAAACCATAGCGTTTTCCCTTGTATGGCCGTGGCCCCACCCCCGGCGTGCCCGGCATGCCCGCATCACTTCCGGGTGACGCGCATGTCGGGGTGGAGTTCCCCCCGGGGCCCGATCCGGCGCCGCCGGGGAACGGGCCTCTGGGGCAGGGGTTTCCCCGCCCCCCGGGGGGACTTGGGATTCCTATAAGAATAAAATATTGCAAGAGTACAAGATTGTTGGAGTGGATTCATGGCTGGGTCTTTTGGGAGCAGCCTTTAACTTTTGTGGAAAGGCTCTTGAAACTAATTCATAAGTCTTGTCTTTCACATTGGTGTAGCAATATGTGTATGCCTTTTGGATCTTTCAGTTTAATGATCGTGGTAGACTTCTGAAAAGTCAGAGACTGGTCTGGATTTGTATAAGAACAAGGTTCGGCAATAAGACAGCAGTATGACCAATATAACAAAAGATGGTTAAAGGATAGTGAACACTTGTGTGTTTGTAGACGTGGAATGGGGAGAATGCGCCCATACCCAGACATCAGAGGTCGAAGAGGAGCACGAGGGAGACCACTTTTTCCACCATCTCTACCGATGAGAGGCATGATGAGAGTACCTTTTCTTCCTCCCCCACCACGGTTAGTATTGAGGTTGCAAATATCTTGAAAAACTGAGATTGTAGTCCTGTGTTTAGGGCTGATTAACTCAGCCATTTATTTTATTTGTGCATGATATGTATTGGTTGCAAAATTTGGGTACTATATTAGAATTTACAGGACCACAGAGTGTGTGTGGTGTTCCAGTCCTAATTTATAATCAAAATAGCTTTATATTTATACGTGGGATATATATATAACACTGCTGTAATCTCATTCCTGTCTTATGAGGAAAGGCTAAAGTATCTGTGATTTTCCAGTATCTGTGATTTTCTATAATATTAGAACTTGAGAGCATCTGATTAGATTAGGAGTAGGTTCACCCTAACCCTAATGTGAGGGAATGTGAGACGTCTCATTGGGGTGTGTGTCTTGAGTGTCATACAATAATTGGTGAGAGTTTAAAATTTTTTCCCTCTCACCCTTTTTTATGTGAAAAAGTTCCTCTAAGCAAGTAGGCAAGATCATCACCATATCGTCATAGGTCACTAATTAGTTGAGTATGTCTGCATGCAGATACAGATTTCCTCTTCCTCCTCCACCATCTGGGCCAATGAACTTCAGGGGCAGACCACCTCCCCTTGGAGCCAGAGGGATGCCACCCTCGCCTCAAGGACCCTTTCCACGTCCAAGAGGGTAAGAATAGTCTTACCTTACCTTTTAAAAGCGTGTTTTATTTTACATTTGTAAAGTTACAGAAACTTCTTTATATCTTAAGAAGGGTTAAGTAGAAAATCAAAGGTCATTATCACTCTGGAGATAATTAACTACTGTGGAAGCCTTTTAATTGTGCTTGATGAAAGTGATCTAAGCTGTAATGTAGTACTCTGCTTTTAAAAAAGTAAGCTACCTTGAGAAGGAACAAAAAACCCAATTCTGATTTTATCCTTTTATACAGCTTTCCTAATGGACCCGGTGCATCAGTCCCTCCGCCACCTGGACGGGGCCAGAGATGGCCTGGACCGCCAGGTGGCAGATGCTATTAAAGAGGCTTATTCTTTAAATTCAGTAACAGGAATAATTGCTTCTCTTACCTTTAAGACCATTTGAAATGGCTGGACTAAGGACTACCTGTAAAGATGGCAAGGAAAACTAATAGAACTCTGACATCCCAATTTTTTCCAGCAGCCCTCATGTACCAAGTTGGTAAAAGCCATACATACATACATACATACATACATATATATATATATATATATATATATATATGAATATGAATATGAAAAAAAAATTAAACATAAAGAAAAGATCTGTGACTCCTTGGACATTTTCAAGCATATCCTTTCAAAGTCTGAGATGATGGATATTTAATATCTGCACACTAACGTTATACAAAGCCTCTGAGGAGGTCAAGCTTTTCATTTAATATTTAGATTATGTGCAGTTTTTTAGCATAGATGTTGGCCTGTTTCAGTCACTTCTATCTACAGCTTGTGGACTCTTGTTTCAAATGCACTTACTTTTCTGATAATAGTAAATGCAACAAGGTGCTTCATTTTTTGAGGGGCAACTACACCGTGTAACATCTGGAAATGTAACCAATGCACAAAATGTAATGGATAACACAAATCTGTGATTGTTAAAAAGAAAAGAGAGCAATTTATAAATGAACTAAGACGTTATGGGTGTCTTGTTAATTTTTAGGCAACTGTTCTTCACACACAGCTTGACCTTGTGTTTAAGCATCTAGTTGTGTACGTTACTGTAATAAAGTATTTATAGCTGAACATTTGACCAATTGTATAATTACAACTGGTGATAATCTGCAACACAGATGAAGGGATATGTTAAAATCTGCAGTGTATATACTGGTTTAAATTATAGCCATTATAAATTTTAGGTTTCATTTTGTTATTGTGAACTAGAAAAGAGTTTTTTTAAAGAAGTAGAACGTGTAATCTTGTGTTGCTTGTTGCTGTTGGAATGACAGATAAAATTGTAATGTTCTGAAACAGCACTGTTCAACATCAAGGATGATCACAGTCTGTACATTTATTTTATTTTAACTCTTAATACATGTTGTGTTTTTCTGTGCTGAGGGCTGAATTAAAACCTTTTTTTAGCAGTCAGGTGCAGTTGGGGCTTTTTAATTTAAGCAATCCCTATACTGGGTCCAAAACCTGCAAGCAAAGTAAATTAAAATGAAGAAAAGCAATAAATCGAGGTACGAACTGCTCATATAGTTATTTATGTCCCACTCTGACACTTGGCTTCCGATTTAATATCTGAACAAAATGTATTATGTGTAGCCTAAGTAAAAACAAAACAGAAATACTGCAGTTTATATTTGTCCTGATTATCACTGTTCTTAATTCCTCAAAAGTAGTATTTAATCTTCCTATCTTGGGATACCAGAGTTTTTACTACATAACAGTTTTTGATTCAGAACTAATTGTTTGGTTAAACCCTTATTCTAAAGCAATGCTTTATGTTAATTTACTATCCTTTTAAGGCACTATATTGACCACTAACTTTAATATAATACTAAATTGGTCAATAGTTCATTCATCTAATGCTGTCCAATGGTGAAAGAATGATGCTGTTGTTATCTTCTAAAGGGTAACATAGTCACCCTTTGAGGCCAATGGGAGATGGTATGCAGACCTTTGGGAGAGCTTTCATCAAGGCCTTTTTTGAGGTGAGAGAGTATTTAAAACGTTTTCCCCCATTCATTATCCTTATTAAGTAAAATGCACATTTATTTGATATGTGTTAGAATTAAAAATATACACACATACCCTTGAGCTTGCTTCACTGAGAGCTTAAGTGACTTGCGGACACAGTTGCCTCATGGTGGAACCTTGTCAGATGAATGAATTTTCAAAAGGCTTAGTTTCAAAAATTAGCCTATTGTGATGGGCTAACCAGGCATGTGGCTAACAAATTCATGAGGCTGAATTTCATCCATATCTTTATCACAGAGTTACTAACAAACTACATCATGGAGGGTATGGGGGTACAGAGAGATTGTGTGAATCATCCTTTTTTTAAAAAAAATCTGTAGTTGCATTGAATGCCAGGTGGTACAAGCTTCTGTGACATTTGGATTTACTACTTGTGATCAAGAAGTACATTTTTGTTTTATTTTTGAATTTTGTGGAGAGGGACTTTTTAAATTACATAACGATACATAAAGTCTTTTTATGGAGTCAGACTATTTGTCCAAGACTGCCTGCTCTGAGTGGCAGAGACTCTGAGGTGTCAGGCGGCGATCTTTTGTAAGTCTGCTTCCTGAGGTCCTTCTGTTTGGAGACTTGACATTTGTCTGCAAACAGTGTGTTCCACCACTAAACTGTGATACCACATGACCTTTGATTTCCCTTTAGACTTCTTTTAAAGAGAGGAAGTGCCTTTTATTAATTATTTAGCAAATGAGAGTGGCAAAAACATTTTTGGCACATTATTTATTTATTTTTCTATCCAGAATTGTATTGAACCACTGAGCTTCACCACTTCCCCCACCCCTGTGCCATACAGCAGCTAGGGTTGAGCTGAATGTTAAAACCTCCAAAGGACTTTTAGAAAACTTATTGAGGGCCAAAAATTAAAAACATAAGTATACAAACGAGTGTTTATTTCAAAGAGGTATAAAAACCTTATGAAGTCCAAATAAAGCCTCATAAAATGTTAAAAGTTACAAATACACAAAAAAGGATAGCGTATGACCTGACGTGTTTTGGCTCACAAGAGCCTTCTTCAGAGGTCAAATAGTACGAAATACACCAAGCAACAGAGTCCCTGTAACACATGTAAGGCAATCTCCCTTATAAATAAAAGCCGAATGGTGGTGGCACTTCTCTAGAACATTCCACATGCTCCAAAATCAGTTTGCTCTCTGATCTGTCATTCAGAGGGTCTCCCTATCCACTGACTGCTTTGCCTGAGTCCTGCCTCCAACATTCTAAACAGTTTGCAGTTCCTCCCCCCCCCCATAGCCAGTCAGAACACAGAGGTTATTTGCATATGCAGCCTCATTGGCCTCTGCCTTGGAACACAGAGGTCGTTTGCATATGCGACTTGATTGGCTTTTGCCTCTAACATTCTAACCAGTTTTGCTGTTCTGAGGTAAAATGTGTCCGATCTCCAGGTGAGGGCTGGAGATCACTCAGAATTACAACTGCTTTCCAGACGGCAGAGATCAGTTCCCCTGGAGAAAATGGTGGGCTCTGTATCCTTATATGCTGCTGAGGTGGCCCCCACATGACAGCCAATATGACGTAGCAGTCAGAGCTTCAGTGCACGGGAGAGGCTGCAGGTGTGTGGGAGATGGAAATCTGAAGAGTGAGGGGGAAATAAAGGTAGGTTGATGATTGGCTGGGAAGGAGATAGGGTTGCCAACTCCAGGTGGGAAATTCCTGGATATGTGAGGGATGGAGCCTGGAGAGGGTGAGGTTTCAGGAGGCGTGGGACCTCGGACAGGTACAAAGCCATAGACTCCACCCTCCAAACCAACTATTTTCTGGAGAACCATTGTTGCCAATCTCCAGGTGAGGACTGGAGATCACTCAAAATTACAACTGTACTTTAGGTAGCAGAGATCAGTTCCTCTGGAGAAAATGGTGGACACAGTGTCATTATACCCTGCTAAGGTCGCCACAGCAAATTGACACTGAGTGTCCAAGGCCGGGGCACCCGCCCAGAGCCTCTTTCTAGAGGCCGCTGTATTTATTTCCACAACGGGCCTTTTTCCTAGTTAACAATAAATGAAATAGGACCAAAATTGGAATTTTCCAGTATGGAATCGAATGACACACCAAAAGGTTTTTATTTGGGGCCACAAATATATCTGGCCTTGTGTCAGAAGTAGTTGTATATACTGGAAATATTATGTACCTTCCAGTTTAGGTCCTAAATGTGCAAGTAAAATTGCCCTGTCAGGGACAATGTGCCATCAATATGTAGGTGAACTCGCATCATCAATCGATGATTGGGTCTAGATACTCACCATGTTTTCCTACTCATCTCATTAAAAAATCTATTATAAAACCAAGATAAAATCCCTTTAAACTTAACTGTTGTACTGTTGCATATAATGTTCAAAAATAAAAAATACTTATTTAAAAAAAAAACTTAACTGCGAACGAAGAAGTACATCAATATATCTAACTCTCAATGCCTTGTCTGGACACTTAAATCAGATTGGAGCCATGGACAGACAAGGTAGATCTTTCTATAAACCCAAGACAAGCCCTAGGTTTGCAGAAAATTCTGAAATCTTACTGGGGGGGGGGGACTTGCATGACACACCCAGGACTGGTTGTGTGCCAGTTCAACAGCAGCCACCCCATGAAAGTCAGTGTGGTGTAGTGGTCGGAGTTTCAGACTAAGATTTTTTTTGGGGGGGGCTAATACCCACTCTGCCATGGAAGCTCACTGCGCGATGTTGGGCCAGTCACACACTTGCAGCCTAACCTACTTGACAGAGTTGCTGTGAGGATAAAATGTAAGAAAATTATGTAAGCAGCTTTGGGTCCACATTGTAGAGAAAGGTGGGGTATGAATGTAGTAAAAATAATAAATATATTTGAAGATGGAGGGCAGAGAAAATATATGTTGGTGATTGGGTGAGAAGGAAGCAGGAGTGGGTGAGGATATGGGGGCTGTCAGGATGAGGGAAAGAGGAAAATGTGGGGAGGGGGATAAAGGGGGAAATGATGTAGCCCCGCAAGTCCTTGCAGGTTCCACACTGTGCAGCTGGGTCCAGGTCGGCTGGCAACACACAACTCAGATAGAGTTTTCTTATGCAGAGGCTATTAGGAGGATGGAAAGAGGGGAAGCTGAAAATTGGGGCAGTTAACAGTAGGTTGCTGATGAGTGGGAAGGAGAGAAGGGAGCAGGGAAATGGGAGAGGCTTTAGGATCTGCAAAGGAAGAAAGACAAAATGGTGGGGGACAAGGAAATGAGATGCCTCCACAAGTCTTTGCAGGTCACTCTCTTGTAATTTACAAAGAACTATTGCTATTTTATCTTATCCTCAAAACAAAAGAAGGGGGCCCTGTGATGTGCATTTAGTAGCAGAGAAGATGTTGCCTTTTGGTGTACAGAAGAACCAGCCCAAATATAAGGAATCGTGTAGACTCAGTAGAGCCGATTCATATACATGATGAAGTCATTACCACCTCCACTTTTTTTACTGTAACAAGATGGATGAGGTCATTGGGTAAATGGTAAAATAAAGGATCAGACTGACCAAAATATTTCCCTGATCTTGTCACAAAGAAGAGCCAATCTGAAAACTTACAAGGACATACAAAACATTTGTTTGAAATTAGAATTAATTGTCCTGTCTAGTGTATTAAGGTTACTACAGCCATCTGATTTGTGCCCAAGGAAGCTACTTTGGAGGAAGATTTCAAGCGTGGTTAAGGTAATAATTTGTTTTCTTTCTTCGGATCACTTTATCAGACCAAATAATTTCATATTAGCTGTGACTATGAAACTAACCTCTCTATTCTTTATTTTGCATTTCTACAGGGAACATCCGCTGCAGATTGATGGACAGGTTAGCTAAATCCTAAATAAACTATGAAATGTTTTAGATTTGTGTTAGGTTTGGAATACTCATGTAAAGTGGTGCAGGTATTTTAATACTTCAGAAGACTTTGAAGATATTCTATTAGACTGAATTTTAACAAAATTACTAGGAATTATGAAATGTGTACAAAAAACTACGTCAAGAGTTTGAAGAGATGTGTGTTTCACACCTGTCATACAACCATTTACAAATGTGGTCATGCAGACACTGGTTTGATCAGAAAGGCCCTTCCTTATTTGCTGTTAGCAGCAGTAAACTTTGCATTGGTTAGTGATGGCCATAGTAAAATTTGCTTTGAGAAAGCTACCCACATATTCCACACACTGGTGGCATACATCTCAAAGTCCTTGAGGGATCTTAATCCATTTCGTAACAGGCGAACTGCTTTCAAACTGAAGCTGTATTTGCATATCACATACCAGCAATTCTTCGACTGCAGAAACAAAACTTTTTAAGAATAAAATTTAATATTCAGTTGTTAACTTCCTACATTTTTGGAATAGATATCAAATTACTTGTTTAAAAGCCTGTTGATTATAAACTGACACTTCTCTGGTCGTGTTATTTATTGCCCAGGAGAGAACACTGTTAGTCCTGAGAAGCATCTCTGGTAGGTTTTGGAATGTTCCTCATTCCCTGTAGTTTTATTTATCACTTACTGCAGATGGTGAAGTTAGGGACAGTAGGCTTGCATTGTATTCTCCAATAAGTAGGGAAGGTATTCCATATGAGTGTTACATGGGTTCTGTGTGGGTCTGGAATTAACAGTGGAATCTTTTTCTTGACCAGAAAATACCAGGAAGTTGTAAAAATAGCCTTGCTTGATTAATCTGCATCCCATTTAGTCCAGCATTGCCTCCAGAAGTTGCAGGATGCCAGAGAAAGCTCACTATCTCCAGGTGGGTTTTTTTGTGAGGCAGTCAGAAAATGTAGAGAGATGCTGCCTGTGAACATGTGAGTGTCTTAACTGGAATTTTTGGACCTGAGAACATGTTTATATGGCAACTGCTGCCATGAAAATCAGTTGGCTTTAGCAAAAAAGCTTCCTGGTGGATTGCTGTCCTTGATCATGTTTGATTTAAAATCTGAAGATGTTATAGCCTTGGAGTGAAATACAAGAGTTCGAGTACATGTCCTTTCTGCCACAATGGCCATCCTTCCCAGTATCCGCTCATTTTAATGAAGAAACAAAGCCATATGACAATTAAAGAGAAACCAATAAAGTGGTGCTTAGCCAGTGTAGCTTCGTGTATTAGTGTTCTTAATGCTGTTGGATGTTATACATTAAGAAGCTGTGTTCTCTTATCCTTCTCTTGTGGGAAGAAAAGTGTTAATTAAGCTACCTACATGCACATCCAGCTGCTCCCATGTTTGCATTGGAACAGTCAACCAGGAATTCCGGCTATTGGCTACCGTGAAGATGACATCATTTTATCGTTCGGTTCCATGGAGCTTGTGGAGAAAGAATTGCTGGAACATTCTTTTCTTGGGTAGCTTGCTGTAGAGATTTTTCTATGCTTGACACGCACCCCGGACACGTCACTTGTTATGTATGTCATCCTGGCACTTATTAAAGTCAGATTGCATCAACACCCCACTTTAAATCACCAGCTGTTTGGATGGAGTCGTCCAGATTACTGTTATAAACTCTGTCATGGAATAACACACACTCATGCTTGTTAGTTCATGTTTTTCCTGACATAGTTTATGTTGGGCTAAGTGGTTTAGGTGGCACCAATTCATCTTGAGTCTCAGGAGCAATCAATGTAGAGAGCAGAAACCTTTGTAGCACTCGTAGTTTCCTAGCTACTTGCATTTCAGTTGCTAAGAGACAGCTTCCAGCTCTAGCTACCTGTGAACCTTTCAAAGACATCTTCATCCAAATATTTTTCAGTAAACAGTGCTATTCAAGAATTCCTCAAAAGTCCTAATGAAAGAGGAGCAAGATTCCCTGAATTGGAGCAGAAAAGAACAAACTAGTAGTGTTAACAGTTTTCTAGTTTGTAATAAAAATTAATGAGAACATTGACAAGGTTGAAGGGGCTAGAGTCACACCTCCATTGTGCAAGTGTGGGTGGGGGCAGGTGATTTTCACAGTAAGTGTTCTTGCAGCTGCCTCCAGTGATTATTTTTCTGCAGAGGGGGGTACACAGAGTACCAATATGGAAGAGGATGGGGCAAGACCTGTTCTGTGAGCAAAGCTGTGCTCTAATACTTTGTATCAAAACTTTCCCCTCCAGAAATTCCAGTTTTGTGTTAGATTCTGAAGCTCAGTGACTTTTTTACAGAACGGGAATCATAATGGTGTATTTCAAAGGATGGCTGCAAGGGTGAAAAACCTTACTAAAGAATCTTATAAAGCATTAGGTGATTAATTACTATATTTACTCCAATGCAAGACTAGATTATTTTCCCAAATACACTATCAAAAAAGAGGAGTGTTGCATTTGTATACAAGTTACATTTATGTCCAGTAATAAATTTTATGTGCATAACATAGGTTGTGTGTGAACTTACATTGTGTCATCTTTTTAATAAATTTGGTAGTATTAATAGGGAAAAGCTGATCGCCTCAAGCCTAGTGAGAAATATTCTATTTATGCTTTTGATATGTGTGTGCAAAAATTCTGTGATGGTTAGTATGTAATAGCTAGGGGTAAGAGATTAGCACCTCTTCAACCTGCTGGAATGAAGACAAGCTGTCAAAATTTGTTAGCTCACTAAGAAATTGTAACCAGTTTGTTGTAATTATTTTCAGTTGGTAACCAGAGGGAAATTGATAGAAGGAACATTCCCACAGCATGTAAATTAAAGAGGGCTTGTTTAGTGGGCCTGTCACCTTAATTAAATGTTCTATATTTTCCTTGAGCTATTGTTGCAAAGTTGCATCTGATATTTATGTGTCATGACTTCTGTCTCTAATCTGTATAAATATATACCCCAATGCATAGAATTATTAATAATGCAGTATACTTAAGAAAATGCAGCTGTGCTTGCTTAGTGTGTGCATTTATTCACATTGAAGTTACAATATGCAGGAATCCTATGTGAAATACTATACAGCCAACTGAACAGCATCTCTGCTAGTAAGAAAAAGGTGTCATAGGCTGCGGTCACACGGAACAGAAGCCACACAAGTGAGACGGAAAACAGGCGGAGTTTCCAGGCGCGATCTCACCAGCACATCTGGGAAGCGTAGCACTCCCGTGGCTCAACCGAGGCTTCCAGCCGAAACTGCGTGGCAAAAAACTAGTACCTCGGAGGTACTAGTTTCCAGAAACTGCGGGGCAAGGGCTGGCGTCTGATCACGTTTCCGGTGGCATCCGGCGCCCGCCCATGTCCCCTTGCAAATAAGGTGGGTTTTTTTGTCCAAGTCTCTGTGGATGCGCACACGCACCCAACGGAGCATGCGCATTTGTCGTGTACACACACAAAACAAACAGTTTGCCGCGGCGCGCGCTTCTTCGTTGCGCGCCGGCTTGTCCTGTGATCAGCACCTCTCCCTTGCCATGGAACCTCCACGGTACCTCCACAGAACCTCCACGGGAGGTCTGATCGCGTAACAGCACAGTAGTTTGCCCCAGGGCAAACAGCCACGCTTCTCCCCCGCAGTTTCCTGCCCGTGTGACCGGGGCCCTAGTCTTTAAAAAGTCCTTTAGTTAATAGTCTGCTAATTTGTAACACTGTACAAAATCCATTTTATTCCAAGTTTATTTTAGAATGGGTGTCTTAATAAACACAAGGAGGAACTTTGAATTGCATAATGTAAAGCTTTTATTCCATATATTCAGATCAACATGCTATAAAGAACAAGTACACAACAATCTTCTGTTAAGTCTGTTTTGCTTGATTTCATCTTAAGTATCTTCTGGATTAGCAGTTCCAACAGTTCGGCCATTTAAAAAAAGGGTCATTTGTTTTAGAATTAGTATCAGGTTACTAATGTAGGCTCATGGTTGACTTGCTGTTTCTTCTACTTCAGGCAGTGTGTCCCACACAGGCATTTTAATATGTTCAGGAAGCTCTTCCAATCTAGTCTGAAAGCAGAGGTAAAATAATATTCACTAGTGGCTGCAATACGTGGGAAAATACAGTTCTCAATTGTTATCACTTCTACTGGAATCCTTTTAGAGTCTATCACATGCACAAAATGTGTGCCACAGAATGACAGAAATCTTTTGCTGCCTAATTCTGAAAACTCAGAATCAATTACATTTGTTTGAAAAATAGAGAATTGTTCAATTAATGGGTTGGAAACTACCAGCATTTTTGCTCGTAAAAAAAGGGGGGGTCCCCTTTGACCACCAAAAAGGCTGTATTGAGGATCATGAGACCTGCATGGACAAAAGCCACATGGGCTGGGGACTGTAGTATGGAGGAACTTCATAAGATTAAAATGGGAGAAAGTTGGCTGGATACAACCCATTATCAAACCATCAGTATGCATATATACAGATTTAGTATCAATATGTATACATAATTCATTCCTTAAGTCAAGTTTCTTTCACTTAACCATCATTCAGTGCTATCAACATTACTAGTTGTATCATATTCCAGTCCTTTTATTAACCATTCTCCCTTACAGTAGATTGAAATTTCCCACAAGTAAATGCCACCCTTATCCAGTGTTAGTAAATTCAAAATCAAGTCTTGGTATTTTGAAATGGTTCAGAAGTCAACTATATTTTTACACTACAGATTTAAACTTCGTCGATACCTTTTTAACTTCCATAGCCACCCCTTCAGGTAGGTTTCGTTGGATGTATTCCAAATAAACATTGGCTGTGCTGCCAGTTAAATGCTTTAACTGAAAGAAAAACAATGCTTTAGTTTTCAGATAAATAGTAACTGTCTTTAGTTAATAGAACAAAGCTTGAGTCTGGGCATACGCTTTTGTGTGCGTGCACTCATCTTCAGCTACATTGAAACAGTTTTCCTCAAGCCTTACATATCAGTAGAGAGAGGGTGGGCGTGGGGAGTCAGTTGCCAGGAAGGGGTAGAGTTGATGCATATATCACTGGCCAATAAGTATAGCTGAGATTGGATTAAAGCAGTTGGTAAGACCTGTGAATAGCGGCAAATTAGTATACAAATACAAGCATTAACAGATGTGAGAACTGAGTTTGTCCAGTGGGACCTCCAAGGCCAACAAAGTTCAATTCTGCGTATAAGCGAGAACTGAAAGACTTAGCACATGTAGATATGTAAATGTTATATAATGCAGGCTAGGAATGGTTAGTTCTAGGGATAGCTTCCAGCTCTCTAAGGCAGGGATCACCAGCCGTTCTGTGCCTGTGGCCACCTTAAGGTGATGGGAGCAATTGCTAAATGGCTGTTGCAAGGGTACAGCCAAACACAAAATGGCTGCTGTGGGACACTGAGCCAATTTGCGGGGATTGTGCTTCATATATGAGAAGATACATCAGAATCCCACAAAAGTAGTTAATAATTAGCATATAATGGGGGATTAAAATGGGATTCCTTTAAAAAATGCGGGGGGGGGGGAATAAAACACAGAAGAAACCAAAATGGTGGGGAAAACCAGAGGGGCAACATTCCATAGAAACCTTTCTGCTTTCCTTCTCATCTACCCTCCCCCACCTCTGGCCAGTCAGTTTGCTTTGGTCCTGGGCTGTACCAGCAGCACACCAGAGAAGGGCTTTTCTCTCCTGTTCAAGGCAGTCTGCTTGCTTTGGTCCATTGCTGCCAGCAGATCTAGTTGCATAGGGAAAGGGTCCCCCCCCTTCAATGTGTCAGTCAGCTTCCTCATCCCAAGCACCGCTGGGGTGGGAGAGAGAGAAGGCTCCTCTCCCCTCCCCCCTTTCAGGCCAGCCGGCTTGCTTTCCTGGGCTGCAGCACTTGGAAAAAGAGCAAACTGATAAGTTTGCACTGGAAGGGAAGGGCTTTTCTTTCCCCACTGACCTTATTCTCATCCTGAGCTGCAGTAGCAGCACTTGGGGCAAAAAAGCCCATCGGCTGGAGCAGGAAAGGAAAGGCCTCTCCTTCCCCCAACCATGCAGAGCTGGCTTGCTCTGGAGCTGGGCTGTCGCAGTGCTAACGACCACAACAACCCCACTGGCTTGTGCGGTGGAGGGCTTTTCTCTCCTCCCCCCAGGCCTGAACGGGTGGGAAGGGAGGGGTAATGTTCAAGGTTGGCAGCTGCTTGCTTTTGGTCACACTGAAGCAATGTAAAAAAACATCTGTACAGCCAATCAGAAGCCCTGCTATGCAAAAACCCAAATGGCTCCACCCATTGCCTGTGGACTCATCATTGCAGAGTTAAAGCATAAGAATCCTGCAGATGGGCTCTTAACCAAGAGTTATAGACGTGTGTTGAGAGAGTAGAGAAACATTTTCTCTTGTAATTAAACATTTTTCTATGTTCTACTGCATATATTTAATAGAAAAGAAAAATACTTTCAGACAACTGTATTCAGATTTGCTAAAATAATTTGGCATCCATTGGAACACTAACACTTGGTCTGTTGATAGCTCTATAATTAAAGCTATAAAATGAATTCCTCTAATTAGAAGTACACTTACCTCTACACACCGGTAATGCGTTCTCATTTCATACTGAACTCTGTGCTTCTTGTAAATGTGCACTGATTTCAGAAGAGTGAATCGTTCAATCTTCTTTGGCGGCTCTTCTCTAGGAAAAAAACAGTGGGTTTACCACTTGTTTCAGACTATGTAATTTCTATTAAGCTGTTTGGCAGAGAGTGTTGAGAAAGGCTGACTGTTTCCCTCCCCTGAACTAATGGTGGAACTGCAAATTTGTTGGCCAGGCTACTGCCTGCATGCCAAGAAACCAACTATTTTCAGCACGAGAACATCCTGTAAGCAAATAACACTTCTTGCATTACAATCTACAGCAAAATGCTTGAAGTCAGCAGCAACACTGAACTTTTATTCACAATATGACAACCAGATTTAAAAAAAAAGGAACACAGAAGACAACTGCCAGCTGCAGTCTCATTAAAATCAGTGGGCTTAGATTGGCATAGCTTCACAGGATTACAGATTACCTCTGCCTTCAGGAACATTTAACTACTACCCACTGTTAAGCACATTTAAGTTGCAACCGACTCCCAGTGAGCCCCATGGGGTTTTCCAGGCAAGAGAATCAGCAGAGGTGGTTTGCTATTGCCTTCCTCTGCATAGCAACTATGGTTTCCCTGGTGGACTCCCATCCAAGTACTAACAAGGGTCGGCCTTTCTTAGCTTCCAAACACTGACAAACATGGGGTAGTCTGGGCTATTCAGACTGCTACCTTTAACTACTATCTAGGATAAAAACATTCCTATAACAAACAGTTCCGATTTGTATACTCAAACACTATTGCATTACATAGTTAACTAGCACTAATCAAGTCATCCAAGGGTCTTGTTCCAACAGAAGGCAAAGATATCCACAATCTCAGATAGTACCGTGTTGAGCTTTTGCTCACAGAAGGTAGAAGGAATCTGGGTAGACACTTTACAAAATGCCAGTTTCTCTTCCACCCAGAAGAAATATAGTATATTTCTAGCATACTTTGGGCAATTCCATCTTGGTTTCACCATGCTAGTGGATCTATTATATTAGCAGATTTCCCTTTTTGAGCCAGTTTGGTGTAGTGGTTAAGTGCGCGGACTCTAATCTGGGAGAACCGGGTTTGATTCCCCATTCCGCCACTTGCACCTGGCTGGATGACCTTGGGCAAGCCATAGTTCTGTCAGAGCTGTTATTGAAAAAGAGCAGTTTCTGTCAAGAGTTCTCTCAGCCCCACCTACCTCACAGGGTGTCTGTTGTGGGGAGGGGAAGGGAAAGGAGTTTGTAAGCCACTCTGAGACACCTTTGGGTAGTGAAGGGCGGGATATAAATCCAATCTCTTCTTTTATTCCCTACTCTCAGGATTGTTCCAGGTGATCAGGCACGTGATCATTGACTCCGTTCCTCCTCCCCTCACACAGTCCAGTTCAATTGCCTTCAACTACGCAAGGAAGGAAAGGAGGGGAAGCACATAAGCCTCTCTCTTGTGAGTGCCATGATGTGGCATTAAGTTAGAACCACTCCACTCTAATAATAAGCCTTCAACTATAGGTCAGATTGCCTATTCGGTAAAGTGAGCCCAGTTACTGAATACTTACACCTTTTCAACAGAAATGCCAAGTTCTTTAGCAGCAAGCACTATGAAATATTCATAACTGTCCAACACAGTTCTGTCGTGACCTTTAACCAAAACAGCCAGTTTCTTATACAGTGTGTCTGGCTCATCTGAAACAGATACCTAAATGTATGAACAAAGAGAAATAAGCAAGTTACCATTCATATTCTAATTATACTTCCTAAGATTTCATTGCTCAATTATTCAATCCAAGTTAAGTTATTATATACTTTGCTGATTCCAAAGGTGACAATATTTGCATAGATACTGCCATATAGGAAAAAGGCCCGTTGTGGAAATAAATACAGTGGCCTCTAGAAAGAGGCTCTGGGCGGGTGCCCCAGCCTTGGACACTCAGTGTCAATTTGCTGTGGCAACCTCAGCAGGGTATAATGACACTGAGTCCACCATTTTCTCCAGAGGAACTGATCTCTGCTACCTAAAGTACAGTTGTAATTTTGAGTGATCTCCAGCCCTCACCTGGAGATTGGCAACAATGGTTCCCCAGAAAAGAATAGTTGGATTGGAGGGTGGAGTCTATGGCTTTGTACCTGTCCGAGGTCTCACATCTCCTGAAACCTCACCCTCTCCAGGCTCCATCCCTCACATCTCCAGGAATTTCCCACCTGGAGTTGGCAACCCTATCTCCTTCCCAGCCAATCATCAACCTACCTTTATTTTCCCCTCACTCTTCAGATTTCCACCTCCCACACACCTGCAGCCTCTCCTGTGCTCTGAAACCCTGACTGCTACGTCACATTGGCTGTCATATGGGGGCCACCTCAGCAGCATATAAGGATACAGAGCCCACCATTTTCTCCAGGGGAACTGATCTCTGCCATCTGGAAAGCAGTTGTAATTCTGAGTGATCTCCAGCCCTCATCTGGAGATCGGACACATTTTTACCTCAGAATAGCAAACTGGCTAGAATGTTAGAGGCAAAAGCCAATCAAGTCGCATATGCAAACGACCTCTGTGTTCCGAGGCAGAGGCCAATGAGGCTGCATATGCAAATAACCTCTGTGTTCTGACTGGCTATGGGGGGGGGGAGGAACTGCAAAATGTTTAGAATGTTGGAGGCAAGACTCAGGCAAAGCAGTCAGTGGATAGGGAGACCCTCTGAATGACAGATCAGAGAGCAAACTGATTTTGGAGCGTGTCGAATGTTCTAGAGAAGTGCCACTACCATTCGGCTTTTATTTATAAGGGAGATATTATAATCTGCCTTGAGTTGCTTAGGACAACAGATGGGCGAACAACTCAAAAATCGCAATCTAAAAGCTAGATTCCCCAGTATTCTTAAACTTACCAGAGAGTTTTCCTTGTGTTGCTGAATGTCTGTATGGGCTCCAGAAAACTGAAACCACATCAGCTGCTTGTTTCTAAAACAGTAAAACAATGAAAAATTGAATTACTACAATATCTGAAATACAAGTATTTTGAAAGCACATTTGTTAAATGGTAAACTTACTGGGGAAAATTGTATTGCTTTTGCAGAGCCCCGTTAACTAATAGAAAGTTCTCTGGTCCCTAGAAAATAAGAAATAAACATAGTAATACTTGTTTTATTCCTATTATATAATAAAATATAGCCTTCAAGTTACATAAAGAAAATACTCCTACAAGCTAGTAAACCACTACAATGATCTTTTTATTAGTACCCATTCATCACTAATCACAGCCCCAGTTGGGTGCTCTACACAAATTCTCTATTCCAACAGCATTTCATATTTGGTCTTTGTATTTTTATGATCGCTTTCATGGTTCGAGCCAGGTGTTGGTGGGTTGCTGCTTGTCCTTCCACACCCCAGCTTACTTTCTTCCAGAGGCTAGGAATCCTTTGCCAATGCTTCCAGATGCTCCCAGGATCCCTTACTAGTTTAGGCTTGTTAAATCCATTGCCTGAAGCAATGAGAACTACCAAAGGCAGAGCTCTCCTGTGAGGATAGCGAACACTCCTATACTAACTGGTAGTGATCCTTACAGAAACAGCCAGGTCACAGAGGCTCCCATAGAGCTCCAGGCAACTTGTATTCACAAATTAAGAAACTATGAATATCTGTTGCAGTTCTACTTCATAAGCAGCTGAGGCACAAGTGATGATAAAAAGCTGACTCCATGCTAGTTCTTTAGGGCTGCAGTCCTCTGTAACAGACATGTCATCAGAAATTCACAGTAAAACTACTGTGGAAAGCTATTTAGGGAACAAACTTTTGATTAACAAGCACTAACACCGCACTTATCAAGGTAAGCATATAAACTTTTCAGTTGTTGGAACATGCAATAAATCTTTGAATCCATTAGCTTTCATTGGAAATATGCATCTGCAACATATTACAGCTTGGGGGGAGTGGACCTAAACGCAGCACTGTTTTAGGTCTTATGATTGGTCGTCGTCCCCCCCCCCCTTAAAATTTGAGAGAAAAACGTGGCCTGCGACAGGAAAGGCTCAGGCTCAGCCCCTTTCACATTAAAAAAAAAAATACAGCATAACTGCACGGGGGGAGAGAGTGCAAAGGCAAAAATCTATTCAGCAAACAGAAGCGGTATCGAAGTCACCCACAGAACTCCTTTCGGGTTCTGCAATCAAACTCAAGACACCCGGAACGAAAAGTGACCAATTCTATCGAGCGCATTATTCAGAGCAAAGGGCGGCTCCGCCACCTTGCAGGCCTTGGACATTATCTACTTGGCGACCGCGAGAGATACTCGGCAGCGCAATACTTACTCGCCGGCACCGGTGCCACAAACAACTCAGTCCCCTCCACGCCGCCATCTTGCCTACTACTACGTCCCTTCCTCCTGCAACTTCCTGCTGCCATGACATCATAAAGCGTAGCCTCCGGCATGAAGTGAGCAGCCAGGCACGGGCGGGGCGGGTGACTTCTTTTTCCCCCCCTCTAACGACGCTGTCGGTCGCCGAAATGGGGCCAATCTCTATGGAGGCCTCAGGCAGCCGACCGTGAAATATGCTTGCGGTTGAAACCAGAGAAAGAAGAAAGTAGCACACTGACAGTTCCTTCGTCTGCTCACCAAATTTTAGGGTTATTTTTAACACCATAACTGGTTCTAGTTCGAATATTCAAAGCGACAGCTGTGCACAGGAGTCGAGGGAAAGGCGCAGGTCCTTTGCGTTGGCTGAAACGTGTTCTCCCCACTCACCCCCCAAATCAGAAGCAAAGACACGAATGGGCGTGCTTGCAAACTCATGTGATTCCCTGTCCCTGCAATTAAAAAAGAAATCATTTCTCACTTATATTATCCTTCAGGTACTATCGTCCTACTGCAGAAGACGCATATGTCGGACTGAAAAGATTACTCCTATGTTATGGGGATCTGAAACTGAGTGGGTGACTGACGGACATTGACTTTGCAGCGTAGTCCACTATAATCGCCATACTGCAGAATAGGTTGAGGAAGGGACGTGGGAGCCACTTGCAGCCTAGAGAAGGAATTGTGTTCCAGCAGCTCGCCAGTTCCGGTATCAACTGAGCTGCAAACTCACAAGCCCTCTCTCATTGCCTACTGCTTGCAACATAGGAATAATCATGCTGGCATACCTTATAGGATTTTGTAAGTATTACTGTGTTAATGTTTATCAAGTATTGACCTGCTGAAAACAAATGCAGATTTATTATAAATAATCCTAGGAATAAGGCCCCTTGTGGAAACAAATACAATGAGCTCTAGAAAGAGGCTCTGGGTGGGTGCCCTGACCATGGGCACTAAGCATCAATTTGCTGTGGCCACCTCAACAGGGTATAATGACACAGAGCTTACCGTTTTCTCCAAGGAAACTGATCTCTGCCCTCTGAAGAGCAGTTGTACTTCTGAGTGATCACCAGCCCTCCCCTGGAAATTGGCAACGATGTTTCCCCAAGAGGAAATAGCTGGTTTGGAGGGTAGAGTCTATGGCACTGGACCTGTCTTGGAGGTAGTAACCCTATCTCCTTCCCAACCAACCATCAACATACTGTTAACTACCCCTCTGACTTCAGCTTCCCATCTCCCTGCCACACCTGGAGCCTCTATGTAGGAAAAGTACAGTCTTTCTCCTCCCCAGTGGGGACCCAAGCAGGAGGTGAAGTGATCTCAGCAGGGTGTAATGACTCAGAGTCCACCCTGCAAAACAGCCATTTTCTTCAGGGGAACTGATCTTTGCCATCTGGAGAGCAGTTTTAATTCTGAATGATCTCCAGCCCTCACCTGGAGAATGGTAGCAGTGGTTCCCCAGGAGGAAATGGCTGGTTTAGAGAGTGGAGTCTATGGCATTGTACTTGTCTGAGGTCCCACTGCTCCTCAAACCCCACCCTCTCCAGGCTCCACCCCTCAAATCCCCAGGAATTTCCCAACCCAGAGGTGGCAACCCTATTTCCTTTCCCAGCCAACCATCAACATACCATTATCTGCCCCTCTCTTCAGGTTTCCATCTCTTCTCCCCTCCCTGTAGCCTCCACCTAGGAAAAGTACTCTTTCTCCACAGTGGTGACCAAAGCATCTCACATCATTCTCCTCTCCCCTTTTTGATTTGCACAACAACCCTGTGAGGTAGGTTACGCTGAAAGTCTGTGAGCGGTCTGAAATCACCCAGTCAGCTCCCACAGGAAGAACCTGGGTCTGGAATACCCTACTCTGAAGCACTAACTGCTACGTCACACTGGCTCTCTTGAGGGGCCAACTCAGCAGAGTATAATAACACAGAACCCTCCATTTTCTCCAGGGGAACTGATCTCTGCCATCTGGAAAGCAGTTGTAATTCTGTCAATCTCTCCTGGAGATTGACAACAATTGTTTCATAGGAGGAAATGGTTGGTTTGGAGGGTGAAGTCTATGGCATTGTACCTGTCTGAGGTCCCACCACAAACTCCTCTCCATGATCCATCCCTCAAATCTCCAGAAATTTTCCAACCTGGAGCTGGCAACCCTAGTCAGAATGGGCCCCAATGAGTTCGCCACAAATGCCTGGAAAGGGCTTCCTAAGTTTTGTTGCTGACAGGACCAAGCTTGGTTGCCTAGCAACAGCCACTGAGGGAAAAGATAGTCCCACAGGGGCCAAGCAGAATTTTCTTCGTCAGGAGAGTGTTCAGGCTGGCAGTGGGTGGGGAGAGGAGCGAACTCAGCACCCAGCCAATGGCACGGGAGTACTCTTGAGTGGCAGTTGGTGGGCCAATGGCTGATGGAGTGCACTGCACAGCTAATAGGAGAGCTGGAAATGGCCAATACGTAAGGAAATGATATAGGATTCCCGTTTAGTTTACAATTCCCTTTATCATCATACAGACCTTTCGAAAAATAGACTTTTAAGACACATTTATAGGAACTCCCCAGTGAAGATTTTAATTATTTGTCACTCATTCAATCTCAACAGAGGAAAAATAATTTAGCCATTATTTTGTACAATCAGGATTGTTACATAGTAGTTTAAAACGGCAGACCAGAAGTTACACACTCTTGCCTTCACCTAATAGTTGCAGCAAAGGCTTTTCCCCGTTCCCCAATAAAATCCCTCAGTGTTCAGCAAACAAAACAAAAAGTAATAATTTGACTGCTTGTGCCAAAAACTTTTAAGAGCGTTGAAGGTGGAATGAAAGGAAACCTTGTTGCCTATGGTGTATGCTCATTACTTTCCTTTCATTGTTGACTCCAGCCAAACAAGCTTTTGAAGCCCTCAAACTCTTATACTTGTCTGACTAGAGACAATAGTGTGGCACAAAACCAGTGCCTGCACTACAGCAACAATGGCTCATTTCACTTTGAAATCTCTGAAAAAGCACTAATAGATTAAACTTGCCTGGTCAGATGGGCCAAAGTTCCATCTAGTACATAGGTCCATAATTCATATGACAAATAAAGGCCATTTTACATTTTTATTACATCAGGCTCATAAAAGTAATAGGTCTTACATCTTTGGTCCCAGGGTCTGGTATTTAAAGACATACAGTGGCCCCAGTCACACGGGCCGGATAACGCGTGGGGGCGTGGCTAATTGCTCCAGTGCAGTTAGAGCTGCCAGAACGCGATCCGACGCGTTGGCGGCAAACCACAGGTCCTGTCCTCCCCGCCTGCGCATTAACGAGGGGCCGGCGCGATCACACTGCAGGAGTCCAGAGGCAGCCTGTGGCAAACTGTTTGCCACTACATACGAGGTACTGTTTTTTATTGCGCTTTTTCAGCGGTATGCCACAGGTTGGCCATGGGTGCGCTTCACTTGCCAGATGTTGCGTTGTGATCGCACCCTGATAATCCGCCCACCACCCGTGGCTCTCCCGCAACAAATTTGCCGTGTGACCAGGACCTGTGTCTCTCATGGATGTTATATCTAGCTAATAATTAATCGCTGTTGTCAGCTCTATCCTCCATGAAGGGTGTTTACTCCTTTTAAAAAACCATCTGTGGAAAGCCATCACCTCATTTTATGATTGTGAACTCTGCACATTGTTTGCTGTGTAAAGTCCTCCCTTTTTGTCTGTGCTGACAATTTTATTTGGTGGGTCCTACATTCTACTACTGTGAGTAGGAAAACATGTCCATCTACCCTTTCTGCATTATTTCACAACTTTAGAAATACCAGCTAAATTTATTATAGCATTATTTTATAAAGGAATTTGTTTATATTCTTCTGTAAACTATATTGTTGTAAACTTTGCTGTGACTTGATCTAGTGTACAGACTTGGCTGTTTGTAGGGGAAGCAGGATCTATTACAAAAGGAATGGTAATGCTTTTTGGTGGGTTATATATATGCCCTGAACTGCTTTTAAATAGTTCTAGCCAAGGACCCCATCAGGTCTAGATGGTATGAGCCCGTTCCATGTTGAAGAGAGAGTCCAGTGAAAGAAGTAGACACCAGCTAAAGAACAATGGGGGGGGCGGGATTTCTCTTTCTCCTTGGAGTCCTGATGTGGAATGGTGGATTTGTTGCCCTGGATGAATGCCTCTTTGCTTCTGCTCTATTTTAATGCTTATAAATAGAACACATGTCTCTAGTATTCTCTTCTCCAAATGGAACCGACCCAAGTAAATACTGCCACTGTAGTTTCTCACTCCAACTGGCATGTACATAACAATACATTTACTTACCCCATTTCCATGAGCAGTGGGAAGACTCCAGTGGTAGCACTATAGGTTTGGTTCACATAGAATGATAGAATGTTGGAGGGCCTTTGGTGTCATCATAATAGTTATTTTTATTTACAAACATAAAAGATCCTATTGGAGGCAAATAAGACCCCTACAGCAGACAAGCGTAGCTGTTACTCCTGCAAATGGTCTTCAGAACAACTTAAATTTCTCTTCTGATGGATTTTCTGTAAATTTGAGCTCCAAACTCTGCTGTCTTCTGCCAGCTGAAGGGACAACACCTCCAAAGACTAATGAATGTTGTACTTAAAACTTTCTGATAGCTCTGGTGAAAATTCAGCCAATTAAAAGTCAATAGGATGACATCAAGCATTAACTGAAATAAGTCATAAACAGAAAAAGTTTCTACATGGTGTGCATCATTTGTTGCAGCTCCAATTTGCTATATGCAGGCAAAAGTATTAGATTTCTAAAGGAGATGCTTTCTTGGAACATAACATTTCATGAATAAACAACGATAGACTAATTTCCCCCCATTCATGAGAGAATCAGCAACATTAACTTGAAGTTCTTCTCTCACGACAAGCTTCTGATTTAAATAAATAAATAAATAAAGTAGGTATGTGAGTGGGTGCAAGCTGTT